TCTGTCTCCTTTTTACAAACTATGCAGTTTTTTATTTTTCGAATGCCTTCACAGTGAACAAGAAGCCTTTTTTTTTGTCAAAGCAAAGCATTTGCTGATTGAAAACAGAGTTTAGGCCYGTCCAACTGCAGCTCTTCACTGAGAAAAATCTCACAAAGATGGGATTTGATGGTCCTTTGACTGCAGCTAACCTCTGATCCCTCTGCCTTAACCCCTCCTCCCATCCTCTAGGGTCCAGCTCTTGTCTGTGGTCATTTGTCAAACTCCTCACGCTGATCTGATTACCGTCCAATTTGGAATCTGCCGACTGCACACTTCTAGGATCAGGACAAGCTGCTTTTCAGCAACTTTGCATCACAACAAATAGCTGGATTGTTATGGGAAAATAGGCTTTTGCTTCCTTTCACAGAGAGGCAGACAAAACCCTGGATRGAGGACGAACTTGGTAACAACTTCTGGCTCGGCCTTCTTCCTCTGACAGAGAACYGATTTATCTGTGATTGGTTAGAAACTGAGAAAAAGCAATATATAATCTGAAATGAGATTCAGGAAATTGCTTCCCTGCAGCATAAACAGAACTACATTTGAGTTTCCTTGAACTTAGAAAAGTTCAAACATTTAAAAGAAAACTTATCAAGCAGGTAGTTTTAACTTAAAAAACCTAAGGAAATGTGTTTGGTAGATTATTTCTTTGTTGTAACATTGCTTCTTGGTTATAAATCTTATAGTGGGCACCTGACTGGCAGCACCTGTGGGTACTTGAAGATGAAAGTAAGTCAATAGCAAAAGCAAATTAAGCTATTTAACAATGACAGAGAAGATTTGGCTTGTTTTTTAATGTGCGCAACCCACATACYCTGCTGCTCATCGCACCAATGCATGTTCGTTACAAGTGTCATCATCGAAAAGGGAAATTAACAGGCTTTTTAAAGCTAGRTTTATGCGTCAATAGTGATGCGATTGCGCCATTAACACCCCTGCGCGTTGGCCCCGCGCAGTGTCCCAGCGAGTGGTAGTGCACCTCCGAATTTTTGTAACTCCGCTAAGGTTGTGCCGCGCAACATCCAAATTGTTTGTTTGTCTATCAAGCTTTTGCTGTCCTRCTTACAACATTTTCACAACTTATAAAGTGCACTGCTACRTGTCCTTTTGGAACATTACAACAACATGGCATCAGTCCGAATGTAAACACCTCCACTGCTGGTGAAGGTACTAGCATGCTCTGTGCGACTATAATCCAACAGTAATGGTATAAGATTGATTGCCAAGAAGAATTGCTACAACAAAGAAATAATCTAACAAACACAAATTTCCTTACATGTTGTGCGGAATATATTTTGTCTTCAGGATGAAAACTACAGAAGTTCAGGCTGGTTGAAGGACTTTTAATAAACTAACATGTTTAAATACTTTTACTGTCATTTTCAGTTTCAGTGCAGAGTAAATATGGAGCAACACCAAAGATAAAAGTTTCACAGACACTCTCAAAGTTTGTAACTTTAAAGAAAACTGTGATTTACAATGTTTTTTTAGAGACTCACTGTGTTCGTTAATAAGACTGATAAACAG